CAAGCTGTATTTGCACAGCTTTAAAAACAAAATTGCATAAACTGGGACAGCTATCAGCTGCTAATCTGTATGCATTTTGTTTTCTAAAAATTATAGCTTTAGCTCTACAGCTGTAGGCTTATATGATGTGAACCACTTTTGAATGTTCCTGGTGTGTGATATGAAATTGCATTATTATCAAGTAATTATCAGAGAGATGATTATGTGGCTTTGCCGTCTGGACATTTTTTTTTAAACGATCTGGAGCTCTTAGCATTCTGTGTACTCTGTATGTTCAATAAATAAGTAAGGACAAGAAAAAAAACCTTAATCAAAAGTGCTCTGAGGAGGAGAGATGAATAGAGGTCTTGCTCATAAATAAGCTCCTCTGTCTTGGTGTCTCATTTCATTCACATTCAAATCCACTGTGAATAAAAACAGATCCTTCACGCAAAGCGAACTTGCCCCAAGTGAATTTATCTTAGACATACTGTACAAAAAAAATAAAAATAAATACATGATAATCACTGCCTGCCATGAGCAATAGCAATTTTGCTTGTTAGAATAAAATTAGCCACCAAATAATTTGTTCTCTTCGAAGAGACAGTCCACCCAAAAATGAAAATGATGTCATCATTTAATCACCTTCATACCATCGTATACCTGTATGACTTTGTTGCATCTTGAAACACAAAATAAGATATTTTAACTATTTAATGAAAATCAATGGGGTCCAAAATAACACTGGACCCCATTTACTTTTATTGTATGCTGAAAAACAGTTTAAAGAAAAGACAAAAAAAGAAATGCGTACAGGTTTGGAACAACATTATGACAGAAAATTGTCATTTTCGGATGAAATCCTCTTAATAGTCTGAAGGCTTTCAAATCTCTATGCATTATATGTGGTGCATCAGTGACATATTTCATCATTAGACAGGAAACTCATATGACACTGATTTGTTTGATGGGAACAGTTTGCTCCCTCTTACCAAGAGCTCATGCTGTGTTTCTTTGAGACAGATTGTATATGCCTCACATTTCATGTCCATTTGTCTTCAAGCTGCCAGAAATAGGTGTCACACAGGGTCAACTATTACCAAATAGAAGAGAACAATTATTCTGGAAAAGCTGGAATGGAATAAAAAAAGCTCCTGTGCCAGAGAATTGGTGTAAGATATGTTGCTTTGCCCTTGTGATTTTTGTAAGCAGGTAAATCTGCATTTACATGTATACTGTAAGTAGACACTATTTGTCTATTATGTTATATGAAGGTATCTTTTCCATGATGGGTTTGATCCTCAATGACTCTTGGTCATTGAACCTGTGGCAATATTTGAATTGATGTAAATGCGAGTGAGCTTTTGAATAAATTTTTCATGAATAATAATACAAATGTTGATCTCGTCCCAGAAAGCTGCTGTTTACAATATATAGTTTGAGAACCACTTCTAAGACACTTTTTGTTTGTTAATTTTTGGAGTTTGGAAAGCCCATTTACTCTCATTGTAAAGAAAAGAGCAGGCCAGTGCATTCTGCCTCACATTTCCTTTTGTGTTCTGTGGAAGAGAGAAAATCAAAGAGGTTTGGAGCGACATGGGGGTGAGTGCATTAACTATTTCTTCAACCCTTTTCTTTTATGCTCCTTGAACCAATATTTGCAGGGACAAAAGAAGCAGTCAAATTCTGCTAATACATACTTCCAATTATCAGATTCTATTATGGATGGTTTATATATATATATTTTTTTTTTTTTTTTACTAAATAGAGTGCTCAGACCAGAACTCTTGTTTTATGCTAGAGATTATTTTAGTAAGAAACAAGTGGCTCTAAAATTCCCAGATTTTTTTTTTTTTATGGAATCTTATGTTCAGAGATCTTGTGTTACTAATTTTGCAAGGTTTCCACAGAAAGCAGGGCAAGAAGCTACATATATCAACAGCTTTAACCCTTAACATAAAAGTATGTCTGCAATTTATAAACCTGTTACTGTCTGCAAAATAGAAAAATAAATAAGTGAATTCAAATCAAAAATGTGTTTCAGCCAAATTTAACAATCAGTTTAATCAAAAAATATATTTAATGTGTATGTAAAACAAACATTATACATATTTTTTTTTTGCTTTTTTTATTGCTAATTGAGTCTTTTGGTTTGATAAGACATTCATAAGGCACCACTATTGTTTGTTGCTGCATAACAATATATTGTGAATCCCATATTAAAGACTCTGGCCTACATGCGGAAAAAAAGTTGGGTTATTGTGAAGTCAAATATGATCTCCTGGTCTCTCATTTAGAGTCACTAATGGATTCCAAAATCCCTTTGTCTCACCAGGCGCTGTAATGACAAAGAGGTTGACCTGTTGAGAGAATATTAATGAGGTGTATGATCCCAACTGCAACCACCCTGACAACCTCTTTTCTTATTTTGAATCCATAAATTTCACTTGGTGTGGTCTGAGTCATCCCTGTGAGGTTTTCAGTCCAAAAGGTCATTCCAAGCTCCGTGGTGATGCCACATGAATAATAGTCAGTTGCTGTCAGAATGTCAGTCAAAGTGATGAATAAAAGGCTAATTTGATCAATTCAAGTGATGTTTCATTTTTATTTGTTTTTGTTTTTGACAGCTTATATGACGTTTCATATCTTCATCCCATCCCCCTGTCAAAAAATACTAAAAGATTCCAATAAGAATCAAATTAGAATTTCTATCATAATTTGGAACCATTCTAATGAGATTCGTATAGGAATTGAGATATGAGAACAAGCTGCTGCAAAGGAAATGAACAGGATAGGAACAAAATCCTCTGTACACCTTCCCAGAAAGTCCTAGATAGGAATTGTATAGGAATGTTACAAAATATGATAGAAACTCTAATTAGAATTATGTACAGTTTACTTATTGGAATCCTTTCAGATTTTTTTTTTTTTTTTTTTTTTTTTTTTAACTGTCTATTCATTATGATTTTCTCAAAGCAACACTTGTTTGAAAACAGCAGCAATTGCAAAAAATACTTTGCAGCATTTCTATATTTAATAAAAATGAATGAGCCCAATACCGACCTAGCCCAACACTATTAACAATAGTATATACATACAAGGTCCTATTCTTCATTGATTTTGGTGTGAAACGTGTCCCGGACATGTTTTCGTGAGATTCACTCCTTAGGTACTTAGTTAAACAAAATCAATTATCTGCATTTTGATGCAATACCAGGTTGTGCCTCCTACATGAACATGCTCTCTCACCTCCATCTGTTGTCTGCATTCAGGAAGGTGCAAATCAATTGCTCGAGCAGAGAAAAGCAGACACAGTGTTCTGTGCTGTTCTCGTCTAAATCCCTCCAGACTTCCTGTTGCGGCGAGACCTCATCGGCAGCTTCATTGTGTAATGCAGAATAGCTTGCATTACTTCTATTGTGATGCAATACAGTTATTATGATGAAAGAATGTGGCTTTCTTTCCTTAAGTGAACCTCGCAGAAATGTTCTGGCCCATATAGACGGATGACAGCACAAACAAGTAAATTCTAACACTATATGGCATCCCATTTCCATCTTCCCTGAATGGCACAGCGTCTGGTGCGATAGGTGAAAGCGAGCAGTCATTTAAACCATTCAGACTGCAGATCAGGTACTCAAAGCTGCAATTCATTGCTTCACTCACACTCCAAAATCACTCCATTCAGATGGTCTGTGGCATTTTACAGTAGAGCAGAAGGCCACTCTCACTCACAGACTTACAGAAGACTGCAGTCACATGAGAGCCACTCATCTATAGAGGCAATCATTCTAGCGGAAGGTGGGTGAACAAAGCTGTACAAAGTGTATTGTGGGCGATACCGGTTAGAGATGCTATGCAAACGTTCCTCCTCATCAGCCCTCAAGAACACTTGCTGGTGTCATATGGGTCGCTCTCGCTTCAGAAAGCAGCATGATTACGCTGATAGTAGATGTTCCCACCTCTTGAATAAAACACTAATCATTTTACCTCCGTTTAAAGAGCTGTAACGGAAGCATCACTTCCCTAAATGTGGCATAACTGTCAGAATGAGAACATTTCTTTTATTTCATAATGCACTGTTTCTTTTGCGGTAATGTTACATGAGAGAAAACGTAGAGAGTAGCAACATGCTGTGCATTGAAATTGCTTACATTGCAACAAGTTCTTTTTAACATCCAGATTAAATCTTTAACGGGTAAATCTAGTTTAACGGTAAGTTACAGGGAATCGTCTGTGAATTAAACAAGGACAAACAAGCGAGACTTTATCCCACAATAACAACACTTGGGCTGAGTACGGCTCTCACATAGAAAGTTCAAGTGATTCAAGGCTCCTTCAAAGACAGGGATACTGGTCCTGTTACGCTGCAAATCTGTAATTTGTAAACATCCTCTCAATGTTCGTAAAGACACAGATAAATATATCACAGCTCAGATAAAACAGCAAAGTAATAATTCATATTTTTTTCACACAAGTGGACATAATGGAGTCTGAGTACAAAAGCCTGCACATATCCATGTTGTAGGCAAGACCAAATTTGAGATTCAAGACTGAGATCAGAAGAGGGTGGAGTTTAATCCAGGAGAAAGACCAGAAGAGGAATTAATCTATCCACATGCTCCTGATTCCATGGCAAGACCAAAACCAGTCTTGAGGACCAAGATCAAAACCATGAATAAATGATCTTGGACTTGGACTCAAGGACCAAACCAAAACCATGAAAATATATTCTTGGACTTGGACTCAAGGACCAAGATGCAAATATGTTCTTAGACTCAGATTCAAAAATAAAAATATGGTCTTTGACTTGTTTTTGAGGACCAAGACCAATACCAAAACCATGAAAATATAGTCTTGGACTTGGACTTGGACTCAAGGAACAAAGCAAAAGCCTTGAAAATATGTTCTTGGACTCTAGGACCAAGACCACAACCATGAAAATATTTTGTTAGATTTAGAATCAAAGACCAAGACCAAAACCATGAAAATATATTCTTAGACTCAGATTCAAAGACCAATGCCAAAAATATGGTCTTGGACTCGTACCTGAGGACCAAGACCAATACCAAAACCATAAAAACATAGCCTTGGACTCGGATTTGAGGAACAAGGGCAAAACCATAAAAATATGGTCTTAGACTCAGACTAAAAGCATATTTTCATGGTCTTGGTCATGAACTCAGGAGCGTGTGAACTTGTCCTTGACTTGGATTTGACCCTCTTCTGGTCTTTGTCATGACTTGGACAAATGAATTGGGCTTGACTAGAGACTGTCATACAGTGGCTAATTCACTAAACAATAACTTTTGAAATACACAGTATTTCGGCACAAAAACAGCATCTCAAACAGCCACAATCCAGTTTAACTAGGCTCTATATGCAATAAAAAGTGCTGCAGCATCAGTATTGTCAGTACAAGTCATTGTTTTCTATGTAAATTAAGCTTATTATACAGTAGATACGCTTTACTCACAAAACTTGGTGCAATTTGCCTATTACCACCTGCAGAAAAGCAAGCGGTTTGCAGTCACGTTGGCAGTTATTTGTCAAAAAGTTAGTTCAGGTGTCTGGATCACAGTGCTGGAGCATGCCAGATTGTAAAGCCTGCCGGACCCTCCACAACTTAACAACATGAACACATCCACAAGATTGTGCCCATGCTGTCAACGCAAACAATTTGGGCGAGTTTGTGCTAGTCACTGATTTGTGAAATTCCTGAATGGGTTCAAAAACAGTGTGTACGCTATCAAATGCAAGTCTGTTTTCAAAGATCTGAGGTTGGTTTTAACCCAAGTTGGTTACTCTTGTCTTCCATTGGGAATCAACAAGATGGCTTCCTCTCACCTGTGTCTGCTTGTTTTTCCAACAGAACAACTTCATATCTTCCCTTACTCCATTACTGGCCAAAACATAGAGCACTGGGTCCACCACGCTGTTCAGGCTGGATAGCGCGAGGGAGCAAGTGAAGGGCAAATACATTGCTTGTTCAAAACTGCAGGTTTGTTTATCTCCCAAATAAAAGAAGGCGATGGACCTCACCATCAGGAGGATATGGTATGGCGCAAAGCAGAAGGAGAAAATGCCAATGACACCCATAGACAGAAGCTTCACTTTGCGCTTGCCTTGATCGTCCACCCCTCTGCTTTGCTGCACCTTAGTTGGGATCAACCAGTAGCAGACGGAGATGACCACCAGAGGCAAGAGGAAACCAATTCCGACCCGTATCAGGTTGAACATCGCAATGCGTTCTGTCATGGGGAAGGTCTCGTAGCATGTTTGCTCAGTGTCATCCAGTGGATCCGATAACTTGTCCAGGTACAGCACCAAAGAGTGCAAGGCCATGACGAAAACATAGACCAGCCCACAGATGATCCAGGCATAGTGCTGCTGGCGGAAGACTTGGACTCTCAGCGGGAAGGTGATGGCCAGGCAGCGATCGATGGAGATACAGCAGAGGAGATAGATGCTGATGTACAGGTTGGAGTAGTAAAAGAAACCAGCCAGACTACAGAGTCCTTGGCCGAGGTTCCATTTGTGGTTGTTGTTAAAATAATAGACCCACAGAGGCATGGTGAGGATGTACAGGAGATCCGAGAAGGACAAACTGAGCAGGTAGATCCCTAGAACGTTCCTTCTGCAGATCTGCTGAATTATGGGCCCGATGGTGATCAGGTTGAACAGCAGCCCCAAGATGAAGGCAATGATGTAGATAGATATCAGCAGGTGACCTGCTGCCTGGGTCATGATCACACATGATGAGTTGCTTGTGTTGTATGTTGCGTTCATCATAATCTGTGTGCACAAAGGAAGAAATGCACTAATAAATATCTGCATCAGAAGTTTCCATAGTTTATAAAAATTCATTAATTCTCAATTCTGCATGTAATTGTGATTCTAGATCATGTTTGCCCTCTCAAAGATCAAACTCAATTGAATTTGAGTTGATTTGAAATATAATTCAGTTGAAAATGGTGCACAACCCTGATGTAAATAGGTGGGAAATTTACCAGTTATTGCATAAGTTACCATACTTTAACTTAGTAGTCAGACCTTGGCAACCACCACAAATGCAACTATGGATGGCTACTTAACAGACTGCGTAGTACAGGAATTTACAATATTACAAAATATCTTAGTGGCTGCATTTAGTGTTGCTTGAGTAAAATCATGGTAAAATGTATACACTTTATTTTGCAGTGTCATTGTTACAGTGTAATTATGCAGCAGTACGTTTAACTACTGAGTAATACTAACAACATGTTTACTAGTTAGGGTTAAGAGTTACACTTTATATATGTATATGTACTTACAGTGTACTTACCTAAGAAAGTCCTGGATAATATAAGGTAACTAAATGGGTTAAGGGTAGGTTTAGGTGTAGGTTCAGGGTTATTACCTAGTTATTACCCAGTTATTGTAATTATAACAAGTATATAGTACCGTGTATGTACATGTGGGGTTATTGCATGTAATTATGCAAAATTTATGATTACTATTATTGTAAGTACATGTAACTTGTGTTTCAAGGACACTGCAGTAAAGTGTTACCAAGTTTCATAAGCATTATTAAAGTTCTAGTCTAACCAAGCTGTTTTGACTAATAATCATTCCCAGTATATGGTTTTTTGATATCAACAATTCAATGTTCACTTAAAATGTGAATTCTTGATATCAGGAATGGAATTTTCACTAATACAAATGTGAATTCTTGATATCAACAATGACATCTTCACTCGCATAAATCAAATTATTGATATCAAGAATTACATTTAGTGAAAAAACGTAATTCTTGATATTTGTAATTGCATTTTCACTAGTTGTAATAATCTCATAACATTCAACCATACAGCTGTTGTCAGTTTGCATGACAGATCAGGACTAAACCACTGACCTTTAGGTTTCAAAATTTGAACACGCATTATGATGCGGTTAAACTTGGCTTGACGTTTTTGCTGTTGATTGTTGTTGATGCAGATGTTGTCATGGTGCAAAATGTAGTAATGTTTTAAAAGTCCTTTCTAGATTAATCTAGATGTTAATTATAATTGTCATGACAGATGTGAAATATCGAACTACTGAAAGTGTGGCTCAGACAATGTACTGATTTATCTACTCAGAATTTACTTTGCACATTAGGCACATAACCAAAAATGTTATTGGAAATGGCAACTCCAAATGAAAACAACACATTTCCGGTTGCTGCAAGTTGCAGAATGTCTGTGGTTTCAATGAAAAGTGAACAACCTGATGCACAAAACGTTTCCTTTTACTTCTTATTAAGGCAAGGTGTAATGGTTAACCAGCCAAGACGAACATCAATGAGTCACTGAAAGCATTTTAGATTAACAACACCTGCACATCAAATACAACGCACTGCTATACATAC